AGGCTGTAGATTTGGTCGAATAATACGCAACAACACGTCAAAGCTCCCCTTAGCCGAACCCAGAGTGAATGAAATTTGAAGAAATAACAAATCATCGGCAAACTCAAACTGGTTTATATCTGGTGTTGATCTCTCATAAGACGATTCAATCCCCATGCATGTGGTGCCACACGATTCAAGGATGCAACAATTTCAGAACCCATTTTCCAAATCAAATCAGTCTTAGTTGCACCCCCTCGAAGCCATGTTTAACTTACCGCCACGGTACCAACAAAAAAAAAATATGAATATGCTTCCGCAACATCCACATTTTTATGCCATCTTTTTTTCCTGAAAGAGCTGATCTATTTGCAAACCATATGACATTTGAGCCCAACGAACGTCGCGGTCCAACTGCATTCGCTGATATCGATTCCATCGAAGCTCAGGCGCCATCGTGAAAAAAAGGCGGCCCGGCACTCTAACTCGCCATCTTTTTGTGCCCAGGAGACGCGCACTCCTCAAACGGTGCCGAGTGAATCTTAATCAGACACTCAGCCCCGCTCAAGCAGGTTCCCCGCACTCCCTGGTGAGAGTATCAACACATGGCCATCAGGCATCCTTCGCCGCCGCAAAGTGGCTATTTATTTTCCCTCGCCTCGGTATTACTCGGCAAATAATTACTCAAGTCGATTCAATTAAAGCTCGCGCCGACGGTGGGCGGGCGGGAGCCCATTCTACGACGTAGTAAGACCGGCTGAAGCCGAGGAAAAGCGACGACGTGAGGGGAAAAGAAAAAAAAAACGGCATCAAGTCGACGCACCGCATCGGAGCAGATGCCTACGCAGTCATCTGGGGTGAAAAAGGACACCCAGGATGAAGCAAAAGTGTTGGAACGATGTCACACCATCATCTGAACAAGAGCCTGGAGGCCCGCCAGAGCCCCCCCGCCCCAAACATGAGCGGCCCTTTTGGCCAGGCGACGATCGCCCAAGATGCAGAGGATTAAAGCATTTCTCTCCCTGGTGGATCAAATTATGGCGCTGGCAACAACAGCAAAAGCCAACTTGTAAGTGCTTCCATACAGAAGTGATCAACCATATTGCTCAAGCAAACGCAGATGGCCGACTGGTCGTGCCACACTGATGCACCGTTGCTTGCGCGAAGAGTTGAGAATGAGATGAAAGACGCGGTCGTGTCGTCAAACGCGGCGCCACTTGTTCATGTTTCCTTTTGACTTGTGCGGTGATGATGATTGACTGCTGTGTTTTTCTCACTTCTTATGTTTGCCGGGGTGATGATGGACCACGATGGCATTTGCTCCTTTTTTTTTCCCTTTTTCGGTGGTGATGGACACCGATGGTATTTTCCTCGTTTCTTTGTTTTGCTGCGGTGGTGATGGACACTTACTTTTTTTTTTAAACGTTATTTTACTTCTGTGGTAAAAGACAGCAGGACGCCATTTTCTTGTTTTCGGGTTTTATTCCCGTGGTGCAGTTATGACATTTTTTTGTTTCTTAGTTTTAGTTCGGTGAAGACAGACATATGACATGTTTTCGTTCAACTTTATGATGATAGACAGGCGCAACAGTTTATTGTTTATTTGTTTTACTTGTCCGGCGTGGTACAATTACACCTTTGATGAGATACAAAGTAATTATCTCTGCTCTAACGGATATATGTCAATATCATTAAAACTAATATCAGCACAACGACAACAAACGTAAAAGCACAGTAGCAGAGTGCTTGTACTTTGTTACTGTAGCTAGCATGAGCTTGTGCTCCCTCATGCCTGAGGGGCCGCGCATCCCACCCCTGCTCCCCTACGCTATACTCCCGACAGCTCATTACCACTCAATTAGGCAGGTGTAGCCCAGCCGCGCACCCCTTCGCCACCCCCACCGATGACAACAACGCTCCCACGCGTGTGTTTAACATTGCCGGAAAAAGACAGACACTTGAACGCCTAAACGCCTCTTATTAGGCTTGATTGAAATTCCGTAATTGGCCACACATGCCGATTTAGCGCGATGCTGTCGTTGGGGATTCAGCAAGACATGCGTGCAGGCAATTAGGGAATTATATTATTGATGCAATTGGCAAAACTGAAGGGGGAGCTGACCATGCGGGCTTTGCCGGTTCGGGACCAAATGGAGACGGTCAGTGTCCGGTCAGTGTCCATCTTGATAGGAGTCGGAAAAAAAAAATAAGGTAACGGTATCATTTTCGCTTGCAACACAGTGTTAACACACAAGCGGCAAATGACTCACTCATCGGGGTGGGGAAATGTCAATGGGAATTTGCGCCAAACTGAATCATCTCGCTCGAAAATCGAATCCAACCTGGCGCTCGTCACTTGTTGCCGCCCCACCCAAAAATAAAAAATTTAACTTAAAAAAAAAAAAAAAAAGGATTGCAGAGATTGGCAACCCTCCGAGCAGCTTGCACAAACAAAAACACGTGAGGAATGTTGACCCTCGGGAGAGTCGATTTGAACGGGGATGAAACGATGTACAAATGTATTTAATAAGCCTGGCCACAAGTCCAACTTGGCATGTAAATGCGGCGGGGATTCAGTTTGGTGGGCAAGCGGCACTGTAACTGATCGCCTGCAAACAAAGCGGGGAGACTGCCAGTTTTTGCCCTCCCTCCCAACCACCACATTTTTTTTTCCTCCCACCCTTCCCATCCATGGCTGTATTTTAGCCTTGTGTTCCCCTCCCAACATGGAAGGACCAAAGTGTGTGATAGCATAGAGTGGCCCAGAGTGGCGAGGAAGAAGGAAGAGGCGGAAGGAAAAGCAATGCCGGAGACAAACAGCGGTGGCGAGGAAGCTCAAGGTCAGCGTGAGGACGCTGTCCTGAGTTCGGGCTGCACGTGGTTGCTAATCGTCCCCGTGGTTGCCCCTTGACTGGGTGGTTAGCGGGATGGGGTGGGGGTTATTATATGAACATTAGACGTGATGTCCGTATTTGACACGTATATCAAAGATGTTAGCGGTACAAACAATCCACAGCGTGGACGTCGAGATGAGTTTACCTTCCGACCTGACTTGAATTTTTCCAAGGGTTGAAAACAAAGCTTTTCTCACGTGGGCATTGTTGATGTTTTGCTGCTAGCGAGCGGTAGTTTAGCCGTTTTCTCTCTCTCTGGAGCCAGTTGGCAGAGGCCGGTGTCTCCTCCATCTCTCCTTGGCTTCTTTCAGACCATCTGCGCCCGCCGGTAATTAACGGGGCCTTTTTACAGCCAATTGTCCTACTCGTCTACCGCCCTCCCGCTTCATCATTTTCCCCTATGTGGCTGGAAGGTGGACGTTGTTTATTTATTTGTTTATTTTAAAATACATCTATATTTTATTTGTGCCTATGCATGGCAGGCAGATTAATTCAAAGTGGCAAGCTGAAGGAAGCATCCAACGAGTGGAGATCAAATTACAGGGCAAAGCGCTCAGCGGTAAGAAAAACAAGCTGGTGGTGATGCTGCAGAGTGGATAAAAGAAGAACATGGAAAAGAGGTGGGGGAGTGTTCACACTGGGGGGGATGAGGGGGTGAGTGGCATTGAGAGGAAGGACGGGAGGGAGGGAAGGAGGCTAACTGGGCCAGCATGAACACATCATCCCGAGCAATTAGAGTCACTCACACAATACATCAATACATCAGGCTCCCTGTCTGACGCTGACTGCACGGCTGGGACCAAATAGCAATAGCGTCATGTCTCGTATTGTTTCATCTTCCGCCACACTATCGATTTCATTCGTGTCCGGTAGGGGGGTGAGAGAAAACATCGATCCTGGATGGCGCTGTATCGTTTGAAATGTCTTCTATTGTGAAAACACAACATCGATATGCAAGCGTCACATGTCTAGCAGGGGTGGTAGAAAACAGCCACGCTGGGTCGCACCATATCGTTTTCTTTTCAGATACCGGATCAATACAGGTTTCCAAATGTCGATATGTCCGTCTGAGTGTCGTTTTTCTGTCGCAATACAGTTTCGACAAACGAGTGTCAAATCTCAACAGCGTGACAAAACTTTGGCATCATCTCCGTTTGTCTCCTGATGCCGTTTGGACACTCGCATAAAATGTGGATATTATGTCGGTCTGGAGTCAGTTACTGAGCTATTACCCCCCCCCCCCCCCAACCCTAAAAAAAAAAAAAAAAGCGTCCACCCCTCCCCATCCTCTCCCGCCTTTGATATTACTCTTTGTGCAATGCTTTGCCTAAGGAGCCACATTTCCTAGCAACAGCCTGCCACTGAGCATTTGGCAGCGCTTCAACATTCTCTCTCTTTGTGGGAAACGCCAGCGCTGCCTGCCTGCCTGCCTGCTCCCTTCGCTTCCGTCACCAGCCATGAGGATGATCCTTTGATCCAATCGCACCAATGTAGCAGCAGCTGGCACCGGCCGTCGATCATATAACAAATACAACACCAGTGCATGTGTCGTGATGATTTGTCGCATTTCGCGCGAGGAGTTGTTCAAACACCCATTTGTGGGCCCACTTCGCACCGCCCGCCCTGTCACCCACCCCCAATTCAAATCCCACAGAAGCTTAACTCCCCCCATCCCACCCGTGCACCATTTGGCTCGGATGCCAGTTGACAGAGATTGCGCCGCGCTTGCTAATGAGTCGTCCAGGCTAAAAGGAGGGAGGGCGCCTTCTTTTACAACATTGACAGACCATCTTTGATGTCGATATGAGGGTGGTCCTCGAGGAGGGCAACAAAATATCGCAATTGAGACGCGCCCAATTTCGAAGGCGAGTCAAATATCAATACGAGTGCTTGATATCGGCGAGACGAGGGAATCGGTATCGCTCTGAAATTTCTTTTGATGTATCAACGTTCCTTTGCCTTGAAAGCACATTCCGTTTGTTACTGGAGCAGCACCTGTTGCCTCGTGTCGCGGTTCTAAGGGATGAATGAAGGCAATACGCGGCAATAATGTGGAGGCAGGCGGTGAACGAAGCTGCTATTGTCTTACCCATGTGGACCGACATTTATGGCCAGGCTGACACTTACTGCGATGTAGTAGACCTTGGCTTTGGTGGCCAGCTCCCAGTTGCTGTCCAGGTCCAGGTGTTGCTCCTTCTTGTAGCATTGCGCTGCAGCCAGGTTGGCCACCAAGGACCTGGCGCACACGTCATAAGCATTGTACAAATCTGTCCCGGTGTGTTTGTGCTTCATTGCAACTAGAAAAAAAATGAAGAAACTGCTCGTTCAAGTGAAAATGGACACTGACATCAGTGCTGTATCATAGGTTTAAAAAAAATTACAAATATGGTCACAGTATCAATATTATAGTGACAATTTTCTTATTTGGACTCATGTATTGATACTATATTGCAATAGGAAACGATACGGATCCAATCCAATGCATCATGTCCATTTCTCACAAGTGGAAATTGTGTTTTTACGGCTAACGATAAGCTGCCAACACGGAAACGCATCAACGTGAGGGGGTGACGTGACGACAACTACAACAGAAAAAAGCAGCCCATCATGAACACTTGAGTTGTGAGTGCTGATGGTGGTGTTTAGTTGGGAGTGGCGGATATAAAGAGAGGCAGGTGGCATTGTGTTAACACGGGCCATTAGCTAGCAGCCCCTCCAAAGCGGCCTCTTTATGAGCGCCTATCAAAGTGCGAGTGCAACAATCAGAGCGACTTGATGAGAGAGCAGGTGCCACGGCACAAAGCGCTCGCTGCCTTTCAAAAGGGATCTCATTTAAGGGATCTCAATGAGGAAAGAGGAAATGACATGCAGGGTTGCAAAATTTCAGGAATGTGATTTTTAGGGCTCCTTACACGATTCGACGCAAACTGACGTGGAGGACGAGAGCAGCCAGCGATAAAAACGGTACATCACAACTTGCTCCAAGAATATCAAAGGGCTGGTTTACAAACTGTGCCATGAAAGGAAGCTCGTCCCTTGCCACCCGGACGTATTTTGTTCGCGTCTGTTCACCAAGTTAGCTGAGGCATCGGCTGTAGTTTGCGACAACTGACCGGTTGTCGCCGGTGATGCAGGCGGCGCAGGTGCCGGTGGGCTCCTCGCTCTGCTCGTAGTAGCGGGCGTCCACGTGCGCCTCCTCCGCCTTCTTCTTCAGGATCTCGCCGAAACGGTCGGTGCCGATGCAGCCGAAGAAGGTCGCCACCTTGTGGGGTTTCTGGATCATCCACTGGGGTGGGCACAAAAAAAAAATAAAAAATAAAAAAGTGTTCAAGGGCCATCGTGAACAAGACTGGAGTGTGCACGCAAAGGAGTTGCTGTCATTGGGGAGCCTCTGCCGTAATCGTAGGCTCATTTTATTCATACAAGTGGAATAACTCAAGGCCTCGTCCTCGCTTACACAAACACTGCCTCTCCTTGTACCTGAATACACTCCGTAAACATTTTTTTTTTTTACCCTCATGATGTGACGTTTTAGTCTCATTGGCATACGCTGAAGTCTTGCAAGAGAGTCTGAAGATATAAATGGAAGTCTTGCGGCATTTGCTCAAGTCTCGCCAGATTTGTTGCACAAATAATGCCCAGGTCTCACAAGATTTCTTTTCAAGTTTTCCCAACTGCACTGAAGTGTCACACAAAGATTTTCTGAAGTCTCCCGACATTTGATGAAGACTCGCAGAAATCGCTGAGGCTTCAACAATATCTGCTGGAGTCCCGCAAACTTCTTTTAAGTCTGCTAAAATGTGCTGAAGTCGCACAAAAGATTTGTTCTGTGTTGTTTTCAAACTCTTGTGATACCTGTTAGACTGAAATCTCAAAAGATTTCGTTGGGACAATGCTTGAAGCCTCACAAGATTTGTCAAAAGCTCGGGAAACGAAATGTTGAAGTGTCATGAAATTTGTATTGGGGCATTTCTTGGAGTCATACGCTATTTTGTGAGGTGACGATTATTTATTTATTTATTTTAAATCCTCAGAACTGTCAGTCCAGGCATTTTGTTATTCTTAGTATTTGTATTCTTTATTTTGAGGGCCGTGGTATTTTTTCCACTCCCAAATAAACAGTAAAGCTCCCGGATGACTCGTGTTTAAATGGAAAGACGGGGGCAGGTCGACAAGAGTGTCCTTTCCGCTGCTGCTTTCGTCGATCAGGCCGACCGCCATCCATCCACTCCCCCTCCCGGCTCCCCTCCGTAAACGTGCACGCGCAAATTGCCGGCGAAAGCCAACACAAGTGCACTCTTCTTCTTCTCCTTCTTCTTCCCGCTCTAACCTTCTTTGCTGCAGGCGCCTCGCGCTTGTCAAGGTCAGCGGCTCGGGTACACGTCAAGTCCAATCTGATTCTGCCGTCGCCGTGATGAGAGCCCAAGGTTAGGCTGTAAATAACGACATGTGCCGGCCACTCAGGTGGGAATGCATGACGGGCACCGAGCCCCCAGCCCGCCCCACCGACGTCCAGCCACCCCGTGTCCCTCTGATGACAGCGTGGTGAATCACAGCAGCGCCCTTCGTCTTCACCTCCTCCTCCTCCTCTTCCTCTCCCTCTATGACCCTCGGCTGTACTCTCACTGCCAACTCAGCTTGTCATTTTGCAGGGTCGTTAACAGGCACACATACACTGACATGCGCATGAGTACACGGTGCGCCCACGCAGAGAAGAAGCCTGACAAACACACACACACACGAAAAATTCAAAACACCTCTGCTTTTTGCCAGAGGCTGCCTTCCTACACTAATAAAAACAAAGCAGCAATAGATAAGAAGGAATTGTCTGCAAAGATACGTGTTCCATTTCTGCCCTGGGGAGAATCCGTCTCCATTCACAAATTACATGTGATAATGTCGCTTTTCAGCTTTCCAAAAGGGTTGGAAAATTACCGGTAATTTTCCGTGGGAAGTGAAGAAAGGGAATTTTTGGAAGTCTTCCAACCTGGAAACTTTCCACAGGGGAATGAAGTGGGGAGTCAAAGTCATTTCATGGAAAGGTTTCACATCCAACACTTGGTTTTGTCATCGGCAGACATCCATGCACAACAGATGCGATCGCCTCCTCGCACACGTGCATCACAACCAAGCTCCAGTTTGGTTTATTCCCAGGAATGCTCATCAATTCCGACAGAACTTTTCCCAACTTGAAAAACTCCTGTTATTCAACATACAAACGGACATGGGGTCCTGTTCGGTTGGGCAGATTTTTTTTTTCTGAGTAAATGGGCAACAGTTGGACCCACGGGTTAAACGTGCCTTTGTTCAACCAGTCACTCCACATCACTGCCACAGATAAATGAACTACCACATACCTGTAGTTAATCATTTTCAGATTAATTAGGTGAATTGTCTCATTTGCTGCACCGTTGCGCCGCAGCGTGGTGGTTGGGAATCACCGGCTTCAAGTGTAATGACAGGCAAGAGTGTCGCATGAGCGCTTAACTCAACCCCCAACATCCAAACGCCTTTTCAAGAACAATCTGCGTACTTCAGTTGACGCCGCCCGCGCAACGCTCGTCTCAGCTGTTGCTTGATTTAGACCGGCGCAGCCCGCCCGGATAATGAAGTCGCCTGCCTGCGCGTCGGCCCGTTCCCGCCTCGGGTGCCGCGCTATAATTGGGGTTGCGGCAAAGCGTGAATAGCCAGCGAGCAGTATCGGTTGACCTCCCTCTGTTCAAACGGCGATATCGCGGTATGATGCCGAGCGATTGTGTGCGGGGTGGAAGTGGGCATGCATTTTGGGGTTGATTCGAATTAGGGCTTGGAATCGATTCGTCGGGAACGAAACTCACTATACATACTTTGCGATATTTCCACTGGTGATGTGCTGTGAGATTTTTCTCAAATAAAATATGTGCCTTCGCTCAATAAACGTTGTGAAACACCGCTTTAAGCTATGAGATTACTTTTGTATGTAGATGATGCCATAATGGTCTCACTTTCAGTCCCCCCCTGGGGTCAATGTGTTCTTTGCCAGTTGTCGGAATTATTTCTGCACTATTAATGATGCAATTCCGATGTAACGACGCTCTCGCGGGGAGGCTGACAGAAGACTCACAAACAAAGCGTCGCCATCTGAAGGTGGTCCGGAAGAGACCGGGTGGGCGTCTCTCCAAGCTTCCTATCCTGTGGTTTGATGCTTCTAAAAAAAGAGCAGCTCGCGAGCTAACGGTGTGTACATTCATTACGGCAGCAATGTCCAAACGTCTACCGAAGGCCGGATTCAATATGTGCTCGGTCAACATATGCCAGCAGTTCAGCATCATGCGTTTTCTATCCCGCCTGTCCTCATTCGGCGGTGAGCTTTGATCTATGTACAGTATTTCAAGTCCCGGTGCTTCCGGTCTTGCTATTCATGGCTGCGACACCAGTCAGTGAAATTCTGCAAGCTTGCACTTTGGTGGCACCAGTGAAAGACTAGCCGGGCAGGCGGGAGTAGAATGATCAACACGATAATGAGCTGATGATCAGTCAAAGGCTTGGGTCGCTCTCACTCCCTCTCATTTCCTTTCAGATCAGTCTTGTCTGCAATCGGCACTCAAAGGGGGAATCCAGCCTGTGTCCCAGAGATCCTCATTGTATTCTGATTCGTGCCTGGCTGCTGGTTTGTGCTGACGCGCTGCCATCGTGGTGACGCAAATTTGCACTGAAGATCAATTCAGTCAAAGCGGTGTTGCTGCAATGGTGACAGGTGCTACAACAACAACAACAACCTGTCTTTTTCGATTATAAAATGTGAAATAAACTTCCAAACGTTTTTTTTTTTTTACCTTATGTTCAAGGATGCCAGGCTTCTTTTTGCATGAGTGTGCTGGATGGACGCTGGGGTTGTTTAGCAAACAAAAATGTGCATTTTGCAAGGGTTTTTGGATGTGCAAGGTTGCCAATTAGCGAATCACCTTTTTATTTAGTGACTGGGAGGGAATCATTTTGGTTTGTGGTTCCCGTTCAAATGAATAATACAGACAAAGTTATTCAGCAAACGTGAAAACGACTAACAGGCAGTCCTGAGATCCGACGGGTCGGGTGCACACCGGAAAATGCGTGGGAAGGGACCTCTGATATCGTCTGCACCTTGACTGAAAAGGCCACTGGGACATTTTACTTTGACAGGCAAGACATTCGGCTTTGGATAGTATTGGTCGTGCGGGTCCGGGTTTAATAAGAAGAAATAAATAAATAAATAAGTTCTCCTATCGAGTTACGGGCGTCTTGATGTCCTCTGCAGACTTTGACAGATGGAAATATCAACGAGGAGCTTCTCCGCTTACGCTTGTCTGCACAGGTAAGCAGAAAAAAAAAAGAGAAGGAGAAAAAAAAAAGCTCTTAGCTGCTGTCTGACCTTGAGATGGACGTCATTCAATCAGCCAGCTTTCTCTGCAGCCTATCATTGAACGAAGAGAGCGACTGAAAGGAGAGATTATTGAATGAAATAAACAGGGGACATTTTTAATCACGGACGTGCAAAAGTCATCCTGTCACATTGAAACACTGCATGAATTTTTGTGAGATTTACTTTGAAGCACATAGACATTTTGAGAGAAGATTGCCAAAAACGGGTGCAAGGATTTTTTTGCTCCAATGCTGAATACTTTACACTTTTCGTAAAAACACGCACATTATGATCAAACTTGTTTTTTTTTTTTTGTTTGTTTGTTTGTTTTTTTTTTGTTAAAAATGTGTCGAACGCTGCATTTTAAATAATGTTTCAAATCTGGACATTTTTTTGGACAATTTGATGGCTTGGCAAACAAAGTACTTGCCAAGTTTTCTTCCTGCAATTGTGTCGAGTTCCTGCGAGGTTCTCGAGCGGTGAGATGAAAGGCCAGTTTAACTCTCATCCATCCTCTCTCTTATCTATCCGGCAGGTCTTTTTGTATGTTTTCCTGACAGCTTACGGCGAGAGGCTAGAAGAGCGCCGGCGTGGCATCATGACGCGTCGGGAAAAAAAAAAGAAAACTTTGGATTTATCGCTCCGATAACCTTCTAGATTCCTTTTGGCTGGTGCCGGCGCGCCAGACAACGCCGCCGGAGCCATCCATCATTCAACCCCCACCTGCCCAATTCCCTCTTACCCCCCCACATGTGAGCCGCCAGTGATAAATTGGCCGATGCCCCGTCTCCCGTGAAAAATAAGGCGGTTCATAGCGAACCAAAAAGCGAACCATAAAGAAGGGAATCCGTATCATCACTTCAAGCAGATAATAAATAGCGAGATTACAAGAATGCATCGTAACTCTG